CTGTATAAACCCCACAACTATTCAGTTATAGCATACCTTCAAAAAGTTATTTTTTTAAAAACTATTTTGAATATAATAAAGGTGCAAATTGTTTGGAAGATTTAGATCAAGTACTAAGTACTTTGGGACCGGTCCAATGTGTGATCTACCGATAAACTGCTATCTACGATAAAGCGTTATAGGTAGAACGTATGATCTACTGAAAACATATCTATATTTTACATTATAGTGCTATACCTATATAATTATCAATATGATATGGATTTTACGACTGTATTGTATTTCTAAAATACATCATTTAAACGTTCCGTTACCATTTAGCGTTCATTCGTGTCATTTCGTTTGTTAGTCAATTTTTTTCAATTTTTTTTTATAACTAGTTTTGTAATGATTTAAATTTTAAAATGAATTCTATTACAACAATGGGTTATTTATTTAAAAATATAATTTTTGATGAATTGAAATTGAGCTCATACTCAAACAATAGAGTCGTTATGGAAGTTAGTCAAGTCTAAGTATAATATTAAAGTTAATGGTGCATCTCCACTATTAGACCGCCAACTTAAAGAAGAATGGTGGCGGTCATGCCACCTGGTACAAACTCAAATATTTGATGATTTTTTATCAGATTTAAAAAATACTTTTGCAGTATGGACATAATATATAGTTAATAGTTTATCACACATTGGACCAGCCATTTATTGGTAGATCACACATTGGACCAGCCGTTTATCAGTAGATCACACATTGGACTGGTCCCAGTACTTTGAACAAAATACCAGCTGAAGATTTGAAAACAATATTCCCTGAAAACCAGAAGGTAATTCAAATCAATCTGTTACACATCAGTGCAAGCAATTATAGATCATTAGAATTGCTAGAAAGAAATGCTTATAAATATTGCTATTTAATAATTCTGCGTTTTTACATGCATTCTTAAGATATGTGCATAAATAACATTACAATTTTTAATTTTAATTGTAATACTAATAAGTGTTATAATTAATAATTATGTAATAAATAAGTAATTTTATACTTAATATTGTTTAATGTAATTTTTAATAGTGCATATTGTGTAACTACTTCTGTAATTACTGTAGCACTGTGTGATAATGGTACTATGATAAAGGGAACTGGTCTGAAAGGGCTGTATCTAATCTCTCATAATACTTATATCCTGAATTAGTTATCTGTTTTCATTTAGTCTGTAACAAATGACAATACCATAAATAAAATGTAATAAATAATAACATATATTATTTAACATTACTAGGATTTATATTAAGTTTAAATTTGATGTTTAAAAATCTACCTACGTTTTACTACTAGAATTGTTAGTAAAGCTTAAACTACTTAGACAAGTATGCACAGTTTCAAGTCAGGGAAAACAAATATTTAGCCGGATTGTTTTTTTCATACTAAAGGCCTATAAACGACCATTTATTTGATAAACTTTTCTTAAATTTTAACTAAAAAAAACAAAAACAAACCTTTGGCCATTATTGACGTCTTGTATACAACATAACATATTCGGATATTCCCCTTAAATTTAAAAATATCTGGATAGCCATTAATACATATCCAAAATTATATAATTGTAGATCTTTAATAATATTTCCAACAATCAATATTTGTTTGTTTTTTAGGTATAATAAAATTTGAAATAGTGATAAAATTGCATTGCACTATTACTTGTTAGGTAATAGTATAAAATTTAATAATAAAAAACTTATAACTTAACTGTTTAACGTTGTCAGTCAGGCGATTACATTCAAAGAATAAAACAACATTGTGCAATATCATACGTGACTCGCGCAACTCGAATTTGCAACAGCAATGGCTATAAAAAAAAATAAAAATAATTAACACTACTAGTTGATAAATTCAATAAAAATTAAAAAGTATTTACTATTTACTGCGGTCTGCGATTGATTCGGTGACGAAAGTGTCAAGTGACTGTCGACTGGTGATAAAATGAATGTGTATTTTGTATTCTGTGTACTTAATCGTTATGACGAGACATGGAAAATTCTAGTTATTTTTAGTTTTTGATCAATTATTATGGATATACGTGATATAAATATATAATGTATATAATATGTTAACTATAGAAACATGATATTGTAGTATGTACTAAAAATGGATCTATTTAAACATAGAAAAAATTAGCTTGGTAAATTACCTATGGTAATTTAATGCTCGTTTTGGATAACTAACTTCTTTTTTGTTGAACATTTTACGGTGGCCCAGCTTGGACTTCTTCAGCCCTTTCAAACATTCAAACCTATCCAAACCGTTCAACTGTAGTAAGAACACATCTCACTGCCCCCGTGCGCACGCCATACGAGTGACTCTTCCACAGACCAAAATAAATTTAATAATATCGTTTATACATAGTGATTTGGAATTGCAAAAAAAGAAAATTAGAAATCTGAAAATTTAAGTTAAAATCAATACAGTAGCGCAGCCAAGGTTATTATTTTGTCAACACTCAGAAAACTTCAACACAACGCCGATAGATTGCACTGCTATTTTTTTTGTCATTCGCGGCATACAAATATTTTAAACCGTGGTTGACCAGATAATTATAGTGTCTAACAACATAAATTGATTTTGTTGATCGCAAATTAGCTGTATTGCATGTATGTAAGACGGACTACGGACACATCACATAAGGATGCGACGTTCTCTTGATATAATACATTTAATGTGTAGAAATATCGTATATAAATCGCAATAGTGGTAATAAGTATTAAACCTAATAATTATGGTATTTGTTTAATAATATGTATAACCTACGTGACCGCAAATTAATTTAAAAACAGTCTAATTAAAAATTATAAAATTAGGTTATTTTATCGTTACACATTACATTTAAAATTGGTCAACAAAATGTAATAAAATTATTTTGCTATAAATTATGTTTTGGGATACACTTTTTGTACATCACTTAAAAATTTTAAAAACATTGTACGTATCTTGTTTGTTGATAGATCGGTGCGTATAAGAATACAAGCTAACAATATTGTCAAATGTCAATAATAAACAATATATAACGTTAGAATGACAAAATATTTATTTGTAAAATCAATAAATATAATAAAATTATAAAAATAAGCATGTATATTAGGTTTTCCGTACCTATCATACCTATAGATAGGCTTGCCAGATTTTAAAATCACTAAACCGGGACATCATTACGTATTAAAATTACCTTTTTTTTATTTTTTAGTATGTTAGTATAATTATATGGAAATAATAAACAAATAACATAATACGATAATCATGTAATGATGTAAATGATGTAATGATATTATATACAATATTATTTCATGTTTCGATATTAAATAATATAATGTTAAAGTTTTTTTAACTCGGCTTCCATTAACCAGGACAAAATTAATGAACAGCCGGGACACCGGGACGAATGGCAAACCTATCTATAGATCAACGGTTCTCGACCTTTTATAGATCATGGACCGGCCCCGATTAAAAGTTTTTAGAAATCGTAGACCTTCTTACCAATTATTTTCGAATACATTTTTTTTCTAAAAATCTCATGTTATAACCAAATTTATGAACAATTTTATTATATTTAATTTTTAATAAAAATATATATGATTTATATTATGTTATGGTTGTCGCGAACCTCCAGCATGAGATGCTAGAAAATAATGAGCTTAAAAAAATATTTAATACAAATCTTATTACATAATTAAATAAATATAGTGTTTGGAGTCAAACCAGATGTAAGTACTAACATTACCAATATAATGCACTGCGTTTTAAAAATATCAAAATTATTATTTGTTTAATATAAATAAATAATAATAAATTTGTTGTACGTTAATTGTGGAAGTAAAGCATTTTACGAGTATAATATTACGTTTATCTGAACCGCATTTTTCAGTTATGTTCGAGTTTATCTACAACTGAATAATTGTTGACGATAACAATTAACAATTAATTATAATTTTAATCAACTTTATTGGTATTCGCTTGCAGTTTAGGCGCATATGGATTATTGTTGCTAACAATTTTTTAGTATTAACTACATAATTTAAGTTCTCAAGGCATACCCACAATGATTTTTCTAAAATAGTATACAATAGACAATGGCGAAGTGTTCAATTTCTATGCGACAAGTTGAGGGGTATCGCAAGGTATTCTGCTATCCCAGATGTAAAATGTTCATTTATTTTTAGCCTACTGTACAACATTTTATTATTATTAATGTCATATTATCGATTGTATTTCATTTTAAAAATTTATATATTTTTATCGAAATAGATTGCTTAAATTTACATTTGTACTTTACCTGTGATACTCAATACTCATACAGTGAAGTTAGTCAATAAATGATTTGTCATATATTTTTATTAATAAACAGTGTATATAGGTACATATTTCAAGAAGTTTACAATGTATAATATAATATATAGTCCATGATAAAGGTTCTCAAACTATTTTACACTTACCATATAAAGTAAATATGTAATGCATATCAACCAAAAATTATTCAAAATTATAAATTGGTAAACATTTGTAAAATATATTGATCATTTTGAATATGTTCTAGTATTTATATTTTAATTTATGTTCTGTGGTACTATTACGTACCACAGTTAGAAAAATTCCTGAACTATGCTGTATATAAAATATATTTAACACAGTTTTTATAAAGATTAATTCGTTTCGCCTTTATTTTTATTTTTTGGAATAACCCATTGAAATGTTTTTGAATTTAGTATTTAACAATATTTTGCGTCCATGTCAAAGTTGCAGAATCAATTTCTAGGTGACACAAAATTATACAAACCGTTACACATAAATTATTATAAAACACATTTAAAGTATTAATACTCTGTGTAATTAAATACATGTTAAGGAAATAGGTATATAATAATAACTGCAGACAAATCAATGTTAATGGACAAATAATAATTATAATAAATCAACAAATCATCAATGATAATAATTATGATATTATTTTTCACGAAACGTTTTTTTTTATTAAACTATATTATTATAGTTATAGTAGGTATTGAAACAGTGCGTGCGTAAAAAAAAATATGATGTTAGAATCACATAATAAAATATATATCGTAAAAAAGTCATGGCCGTTTTCGGTAAAACGTACAACGTCTAATCGAACACAATAAAATACAATGTAAGACTTTTGTTGTGTGGGAAATATTAACACGAGATACAATTTTATAATATTATATACTGTAGACTAACCGTCGAGGAGTTTAATTTTTCATGTTTTTCTTGCGATCGGCTGGTTTTAAATCTTTCGGTTCGACCTTTGCGGGTACTGCCGCAGGCGTCCCGTCGACCTCTCCCCCGGTCAGCTGTTGGGCCGGTAAAACGACCTGCGAGGGCTGTTGTGGTTGTTGTTGTTGCTGTTGTAGTTGTTGCTGTTGTAGTTGTTGCTGTTGTAGTTGTTGCTGTTGTAGTTGTTGTTGTTGTAGTTGTTGCTGTTGTTGTAGTTGTTGCTGTTGCTGTTGAATCAGTTGTTGCTCTTGCAGCGCTTGTTGTCCGGCTGTCCTCGAATATCCGCCATAGTTGTACCGGTCCGTCATCGACATAATCATCTCAGGCCGGACGGGCACGTAACCACTATATGCAAGCTGTCGTCTGTCCAACGGACCTTCGGCAACTGCCGACGCCATAGATCTCTCGGCGCCCGGGAACCGGCCGACTATCGCTTGTTGTGAATACTGGTCTGGGAACTGAATCTCCGGTTCCGATACGAACCGCTGCTGTGGCTGCCATTCCGGTCCGACACCGTCTTCATATCCGTACGGGTCTGTTGACCTTACCATAGCCGGCACGAACATGGGTCGCATAGCCACAGTTCTTGGGCGGCCGCTACCGAACCCTTTGCGGGCCACTGCCGAATTGCCTTCGAACGGTCCCGCCTCCAAGTAGTTTTGCGTTATCGGCGCCACATTTTCGTCTTCGTATATATCGTCTGCAGCGTTTGCTATTTCGTCTGCCTCGCCTACTGCCCTCGTCAGTACCGCCATGGGATATGCATCATCAGCCATACGGTAACCGCCGCCCAAGTAATTACCGCTCGAGTAACCGCCGTCCGAGTAACCACCGTACTGTGAACATGGAGACTTGTAAGGTTGTATTTGTGCCACCGGTTTTTGGTAAACGACTGTCGGTTGATAGTGCACCAGCGGCTGTTGCTGTTGCACGTAGTGCACTTGAGGCACCTGATGGTGAATCACGTGCAACTGTTCGTAGTGTGGTTGTTCGTGGTGCATGACGGGCTGCGGTTGCACGTACACGGACACGGGCGCGGGCTTAGATTTATTTAGGTCAAAACATTTTTCAGACGGAATCCTGGCTTCGGGGGCTGTAGACTGTCTCTGCAGTTGACTGGCCAAGATAGAGGCCAACGTGGGTGGCGCTGGATCACCGCAGACAATCGTCTTCTTACCTGTTTTTGACACGTCCGCGTACACGCACTGTTCACTTTTCTTTGATCCGACGTCTTTTTTCACGCGCACCGACGAGGCGCCGACAACAGTGGCTGCCACTACGAACAACACTGCGACAACAACGGACTTCATGTTGTTTTGTATGTTTTCAGGTGTTTGCGGTCAATTCAGTACGTCCGGCGATCGATGTCTTTATAGATTCCGTGTGTCCAGTCACCTATGATATATATATATAGAAATACGGTCGCGTGCCGATGTAAACAAAACAAATTAATGTGCTGACCGACGGGAAACCGTTTCGCAACCTATCGTTCGGTCCCCAAACTAAACATTCAACACGGACGCATATTACGAAACTATATATCATGTAATATTAGGTATAGGTAAATGATGCATTTGTATAATTAAGTGCCGAATGTAGTCCAGGTTGACGTTATAAATAATAACATATCAAATAATATAATATTATGTATACAAATCGATGATCGGCATGCGAATGTTTTACATAGCTTTGCGCGAAACTGTCAACATTACTTCAACAGTCAAACAATAATATGCAAACAATATATATCAAGAAAGGACTTATGATTATTATTCGATTAATATTAAAAGATAATATTATACCAAAACACTGATGACCTCATTTACAAATGAGTTGAATTCCACTGTGTTAGCTGTATGGATTAGGACTAATGTATACTTACACGATTTTAGGTGTTTGTGCGAAAACAGTTGTCAGAAGAAAACAAAGGTAAATGGTAAAGTAAACGTTTAAAATGCTTGAATATAGTAGTGTATTTTAAATTTATATTACTAAAACAAAGATATACGTCATGACAATTTTTAATACACAGCAGGCAGAATAAGTACGAAACGCCTGTAAAGAGTAATAAAATAGTTAAGTATCGTCGAGGAGATTGTTGTCGTGTTCATTTCAATAAATTTAATTTTAGTAAAAGAAACTGCTTATGACAGTAAATGCTCACATATATAAAATAAAAAAAATAATATTGTATAAAAAAGTATTTAATGAATAATACTGTTGGGATTACGTATATACGTTATCATTGAATAATTAATAATTGTGTTACTTTATACAGTGATTTTATTATAAATTACATATATAATACATATTGGTACAATGGTATGTATTTTAAATAAGTGTAGAAAAATTCACGAGGATGAACATTTTTGAGAATATTAAAATTTTACAGTAATTAATGTAAAACTATTAATCAGTGTGTTTTATGATATTGTATTTCTATTAGATATTTAGTTTTTATCAACATTATTAACTAATAAATTAAAAAACAAAATAAGTAAAAATTGTCTTTTATAATTAAATTTAATTCTTAAGTATTTAATAAGAATCATGGTGGAATCATATAATGGGAGATGTATAATGTTTGTAAACTGATAAACTTAAGAAATAAATATAAAATATTTAAAATATTATATTAAAGAGAGATACAAGTTATATATTATTTAGTGTTACCATTTGACAATTGTTTTTTTTCATAAAAATATCCGTGCAATGCCCATTCCAACTGTCATAACACATAATAAAAGTTATTCTGTCTATATTCAGTGACATACAAGTATTGTAATTTTTGTGTACCATAAATAACAAATACGAGAGAATTTAAAAGATCAGTAACTTTGTTCAATAATAATAGTAAATTTTAACAATTTATATTTTTATTCATGTTGTTTCAACAATCCCCTTATAATGTCTGGGAATATTCCTGTTCCAAGTTTCATGAGTTCTAATTTTTCATATATATTACCTATAATTCGTTGAAAACATTTTAATTAATTTATATTTAAATGGAATAATTAAATTCACTTCATTATCAACGAAATTAAGAACATAATATTAACTATAATTTTTCATTTTACGCAAAAATATAAAATCCATATTATTGACACCATAGAATACATTAATTTTTAATTCGTTTATAGTATTCCGTTTTATAAGTCATATTACATATTAAATGAAAACATAATATAATATTTACTACAGTAATTTTATTGTTTTATCCAAGTGTAAACAAAATTATTTTATTTAGCCAACACAATATTATCGAGTATACTCGAATAGGTCCACATTTGTTTTGAAAAAAATATATGCTTACATAATACATACATAACATAGTTACTATTTACATTAACGAAATATTAGTCAAAATCCAATATAAATTTTAAAATGTTTAACAGATCTCGCCATCTAGATATAGGACATCAGGACACACCGTACTTAATAAAATTATATCATAGTCATAATATAATTACGTATTATAGCTTTACATTTGAATAATTACGGTAGGTACAACGGAAAGAACCACTGTTAATATTATTAAAACGAAATAATTTAATAATTTATCGAAACGACAGTGTTATAAAACCGTATTTAATTACAGTTTAATATCGGTCTGTATTTGACTTATCACGTGACCTGTCGTATACAACGGCGTAGTCTTCTCGCCTCACTCGTCGTCCACGGCGGTGTAGATCTTTTTTACCACCGGAGAGTTCTGTCCGTTTTCGGACGCGGCTGGAGGATCGTCGTCTTCGCCGCCGTCTTCGTCGTCGTACGCCGTCGCCTGCCGCGGTCCGTCCTCGGAGGAGGCGAACGTCTGCCTGGCCACTTGTCTGGCGTCCAGACGCTTGGCGGCGCCAATGTCGTCTGCTCGGTCGTCGCGTCCGACCTCCATGTGGTTGGCAATGGTCTGGTCCCTTTCCTGCGGCGGCGGCGGAAACCTCTCGGTATCGATACCGGCTGCGAATTGCGGCAGAGCCGCGGCCACGCGCTGCTCGGCCGACGTGCCGTTGCAAGCGACGGGCGTCGTCTTGTGATCGACGAACGCCGCCAGTTGTCTGACGAACGCCGGATTCTTGCGCATTTGGTCCAACATGAGCATGGCCTGCTGCTGCTGTTGGTAGTACTGCTGCTGGATCTGCTGCTGGACGAGCGCGAACTCTTGCTGCCGGCGCTGTTGCTGCTCGTACAGCTGCTGCTGGAACTGTTGCCGGACCAGCGTCTCCTGTTGGTTCTTCAGCTGTTCGTAGAACGCGGCCAGCTTTTCGACGGTGACGGCAGACGACGTGTCGTTGCCCCGCGCCTTGTCGGCGACGGCCGCCTTGCACGGCACAGCCACTGCGGCCACCGCCGCGTGCACGTCCGCCACGCTCTGTTGAGGCTGCACGCCGCCGTCCAAGCGGCCGGCCGGCGTCGGCGGTCGGGCCGCCGCCACGGGCAGTGGCCTGGCGAACGCGGGCGGCGTTAGCGCGCCGGCCCAGCGGTCGTCGGACCTGCTGGACCGGAAGGAAGCGGGTTCGGGGAGTTCCGTGGGCGTGAGTTCGATCACGCTCGACGACGCGGCCGCGGGGAAGTACTGCGCGAGCATCGCTCTAGCGTAGTCGTCCTGCGTGAAGCGCTCGTGGGGTTTGCCGGCCACCGACATCGCGGCGGCCACGATGGCTATTAGTGAGAAGACGACGGAACGGCGGCCACAGTGACTGCGCGTCGTCATCGCGGCGGCAGACGGTATGGTCGAACGGTGCGACAGTACGATAATAATATTATGTCCTTAAAATGTATTATCGTTCACGTTCGAGTGTGGTGTGCTTCTGTCGTCCTGCTTTTGGCTGCGCGGTGAAAGTCGCTATTGGCGAAGTTGCGTTTTTGCGGTGTTCGACGTGTTATTCGTCTTTTACCGGATTGTTGCACTGTGTCCTACTCGGCATGTTCGACCAGCTATTTATGGACACACTTTGGTTTATTTTTTTATTTTTTTATCATTTTCGCACAGATAACGCCGAGACATCTGATACGGTGCAGCTGCACGATTTCGTCGTGCACAGCCTGTCGTTGTTTTGAAAATTTTGCCAGATAGTGGCGCGTGATACGAATTTTTTCCAAAACAATTTTGCAAAATATTACGCGTGTTTACACGACGTAGTGACACGTAACGACCTCGCAAATAATAATCACTCATCGTTCATTATTAATATTGCTACTTGTCGTGCATCAGTTTTAGGACAAGCAATACGTGATGTACAATAAATAAAACAAAAATATATGTGTGTGGGTGTTAAAATATCGACACGAGACATCGTCGATCCTACGCCCTAAGTACATAAGTCACCACCGACAATGCTGGTTGTTAAGAACGTCAAACCCAATAAAAATTATAAAACATTAAATTAATGTGCATATTATTTTATAGGTAATGATGCGTTTTATTGATAACTGGAAAAATGACCAAAACCAAAACAATAAAGACGATTTTACCCGTTTTATAGTGTCACGACATCCATAATGCTGTGTACATTGGAAAATCGCTTATTTAGGAGGTGTTTTTTTTCGGTTACGAGCTCCCTGTGTGTGTACGTCAGTTGGTGTAACAGTAGCTGTCATTATGATTATCTGACACGCATCTAAAATCACGGATATGTTTTTTACAAAATCGGCAATATTTTTAATTGGTATTAAAACGATAGAAACTGTTAAATAATATTACATAGACATAAGGTCAATTAAATTTTGGCAACAAAATTTTTTTAGAATTAATTGAATATTATGATAAAAATATATTTGAGAGAGCATTATTGACTACGCCTTTTATGATAATTATGAGTTAAACATTTTGTATCAAACATTAAGTATCATTTACTGAATATTAAAAAAAAAAAAAAAAATAACTAATAATAACTTAATATTAATATATTCGTCTAAATAAAAATCTAAATATCGTATCTAGAGTAAACAGAGAAAGTACTTTTTAACTTTAAAAACATTTAATACATTTTGTAATGCAATAAAATATAATTAGTAACAAGACATCAATTTTAATTAAAAAATACAATTTGATGTTGATGTCAATTGAATATTTTCTATCTGAAATATTAATAAATAATTATTATAAATTAAAATGACGAAATTTTAAGACACCAATTTTATAGAAAAATAATGCGTGAAGTATTTTGGCTTGTTTTCTGATAGTCAGAAATATATATTTATAATTTATATACACATATAGATCTTGAGTTAATAAATTTCTTTTTCAAAGTCATCACTCATCAGACTATATCACTTGTTATTACTTATTATAGCTGTAGTATATGTCCATACTCTGTTAACCTAGATATTATATTATTTATTCTTTGTAGTAATACACGAATGAACTATACGAGTCTTCATGGAGTATTAATTACAGTAGGTACTTAACGATATTGAAACAAAATATTTCGAATAAAATAATATACTTTGTTTGGCTGTTTGAAGTATTAGTAATATTAGTTTTAATATTAAATTATAATGGTCTTTTAATTTTAATTTATAAATATAAAACTTACATATAGGAAGAGATAACAGTAAACAAATATATATTTTTAAAATTTTATATTGTCATATTGTCGTAATTAAATACAATAATATAATATTTAAATTATTAATATCTTATATATAGTTTGCATTGTATAAATAGAATAAGATTTAAATGTTTTCTTTTTGTTTTTTTTTATTAAACATTAACATTTAAAATCTACGGTGGTAAAATAATTTTTTTCAGACTATATTATTTTATATTATTGTTCTAAGTATCTAAAAATGTAAGTAGTAGTGTTTATTTTAGTTTGATATTTTTAAATATTATTTATATTGAAAAATATTGTAATAAGTTCATTTTAAATTCAGAATAACTGCCTCTTTTTTTTAAATTTAACCTTTATTAACAAATTGAATGAATTAGTTGACTTGCACAGTCTTGATGCTTTATGTTAAAATAATGTATACAACGTACTATTTTACCATTAAATTAAGACAACCCTAATGGGAATCATAAATATTAAGTGTTATTTGAAGGTATTTTATTATTGATTAAATATATTTTAATAGATTTTGAATGAATGAATTTTA